CGCAAAACAGAATTTTTACTTCCTTTAAAAAAAATAAATGCACGTCTTCCAAGACATTGACATCCATGACCAGAATAACTAAAGACGTAAGGCTCAACAGCCCTTCGGAGAGGTGAAATACTGGGTCATTAAACACAAAATTAAAACTCTCACTTGTTTCAGTGGCATGCAAATAACCAGGTTTTGCAAGGTGTTCCAAGTATAATCAGAACAGAGGACTGAGTGCTATCACTTTTGCCAACACTGCCTTAATGAAAGGTTTGCAGGGCTTCTTGCTGTTATTATCCTGACATGTGCAGTAGGCGGTTACAGTTCAACAGGTAATTACTGTAACCATAAAATCCATTGTCCTTCTCCACACAGTACAGAGAAACCCATTCAACGTTCTGTTCTTTCTTCCAGTACCTGCTTTTTTGCAGCTGATTTTCAGAAAGAAATTAAGAAATCCCACAAAGCAGGATTTCAAAAACGATTTAAACAGTTTAAACATTAACATTACACAAGATGTTTAAACATTAATTAGCTGAATGATACAAATTCATTTTTAAGACATTTACAATACATAATCGCAATTCATGCAGTACATGCAGGATCAGTAAAGCTAAGCTGCCTTACTTTTACTCTTTTTTATCTGCTCTTTAAGTTCATTATATTCTTTTACTTTACATAGATGCTGTTCTTTTTTGATTGTTTTATAAAGGGGTGTCTTTCTCCTTATATTCTTATGAATTGATTTATTTAACCATGGATTTTGATCCCCTTCCTCTTGAACCTACGCTATGCTTCAAGTAGAATCTGGTCAGTCTGCTGAAACTTGTTCTCCACCAATTCCACATTTAACCTGATCCCCTCCTGCTTATCTTCAGCTCTGTCTGCTCACAGAATGCTGCCCTGAAATGATGAAACTTTCAAACAGATAGAGGATTTGGACTCTATTTGTACAGTTTCAGATTATAAACTACGTCAAACTGAGGGTGCAAATAAGATTCACCATTAAACAAATAAACAGATGTTTGAAAACTACAGAATAATGAGGAACAATCAGAAGTACAGTATGTGTGAATCAAAGTAATTAAGATAAACACACATTACAGGGAATATTCGCAGATACTACTGTAGGTACATCCATAACACACAAAGTGGCAGTGAAAGATGCCTTAACAATTTCAATACAATTCAGAAAAATAGAGGAACGTTTCTGATAAAAGTCAGCAACTGCTGTACACAGGACTTCATAATATAATCACTGAATTGTGAAGTCAGCTCAAAAGGCTAGTTTTCAAGAAGGGTTAAAATATCTTAAAACTAGTTCTTGGAATAAGATCAACTTCATTTAATCAATACTTTTTTTGTACTACTCAACCAAAACAACGAAAATCTCTTTTGAGAATTTTGTAGTGGGATCAAATTGTAAAGGCAGATAAAGAGAAGCATCGACCCAAGGTCTCAGAATTTGACTATGATGATGGCTGTTCTGTAAAACTGTTTTCATACTCAACAAAGAAGCATCAAAGATGCTTGAAGTACAGCACATGCAGTTTAATGCTGAATAAATGACTCTTTTGTGTCAATGCTTGACAAAAAAAAAAACATCTGTTTTTACTTATTTAACACAAGCATCATCCAAGACATGCAACAGGATGGATCAAAACTGTTCTTAGCATTTCCTTCTAAATGATATACTTGAATTTGGATTGTTAATGGTCGAGTACGGATTAAGTTTTAATGGGACGAACAACTGCCATTACAACAAATGAACCAACCTGAAATATCCATCCATCAATTTTCTAACTACTCTACCCAATTTAGGGTCGCAGGGGAGCCAGAGCCTATCCCCGCAAGCAACAGGACACAAGGCAGGCTACCCCCTGGTCAGGACACCAGTCCAGCACAAGGCACACAGACACAACAACATGCACCAGGGTCAGTTTTCCAACGAGCCAATTAACGATCGGCATGCTTCTGGACTGTGGGAGCAAACCAGTCGCGAACCCGGAGGAAACCCACGCGAACACGGGGAGAACATGCAAACACCACGCGGACAGCACGCCAGGAACTGAACACAGGACCCCAGAGGTGCAAGGCAGCAACGCTCACCACTGTGAGATCGGGCTGTCCAGCTGACAGATCTCCCTCCTCAGATTTTGTCTTTATCTTTGATTTCCATCATTTGTGTTGTTGTTTTTTTAATGCATGGCAAAAACTTTGCCCATGATGCTTTCTCTGCCTTTGCTTTGTGTGTTGATACTCCTCGTTTAAATTATGGAAAGATATACTGATGAAATGCCTTATCCGGTACAAGCAGTAGAATCTATTACAAAACTCTACTGCCCCCCCTAGCGAAAAAGTATTGCCAATACATTTTTAATGTTATGTTTTACAAGAAACTTATCAGCACGATAAAATACAGCCTAGACTACAATAAGCACATGTGCACTGTCTCACCGTAGCATTATTGAATTAAAATATCCATACATCCCTTTTATCAGAAAACCACTTCATGGAGTTTGTAATGAAAGTTCGGGACAGATGACAACAACCACGTCCAATCAAACCGAGCAGACCTTGACTTCATTTCCTCTCCTAATCACTACAAATACCGTACGTGATCGCCTTCTCTCCCTCATCCCACTTCGAACCTCTGCAGCTGCCCCTTGGTCACTGCCCACTGGTCACTCTGCATGAGGGTCCTGGCCTCCTCGTCCTGTGGCCTGGAGGTCAGAGGTCAGAGGTCAGAGGTCAGCCCTCAGCCGAGCGGGTTAACCCACATTTTCACTCAACACTCCCTAATCCTCTCAGTGCACCCACTTCCGGGGTGTTTTTAATCCTAGTGAATTCCTGCGTGAAGGTCACGTCAATACGGAACCTATTCTGGAAATGAAGGTGCAGGACAGAGCCACACCTTGGACTGCGAGGGTCTGGGCACCTAGGCCACTGCAGGGAGGCCCGGCGAGTTCATTAACCCCGGCCAGGGCTTCGAGCGGAGCACCGCACACCGACGACCCAACAGCCGCCACCCCCCTCATTAACACCTACAACCACAATACCTGTGATAAATGACAGTCTTTTTTCGAATGAAATCCTGAGATGCACGGATGCACTCCTGCGTCCTTCTGACGGTTGAGTCGAAACCCGTGGCGGGAGTGCATCTCCACACACCGGCTTCTGCAGTGAGACCGACGAGAGCTTCGAACCAGAACAGCGCAAAAATCGCGCGGCCCCACACGGCACCGAAACGCTGTACAATGACCCAGATTTTTAGAATAGTGTTAAAAGAAAATGTAACCACACCTTACAAAATCCCCGTTTCACCCTCAACCCGGAAGTGGGCGTGGCTGTCGCGGAGGGGGGCGGGGTCACGACGGGGGCGTTGACGCTGAGTGGGCTCAAGCACGTTTTTTTCTTTAGCATTTTTCTTACAACAAACATATATACAATACAAACATCACGAGGGCTACATGAGCAGTTGCTTTTTTTTAATAAAAAAAAGATTAAATGAGGTAAATAAAGATCAGATACGCTTTCCCGTTCTTACACTTAGAAATAGTCTGGAGATATGCACCTATGTCTATTTCAAAGTGTTGAAATGTGGGTCTCTTCCCTGACCATTTCATTTTCTGTCTATAATAACAAGTATAATGATTAAATCAATTACAAATTATATTATGTTTGTATGTATTTCAATAGGATTAAAAAGTAATGTTTCTTTTTAAAGAATAAATGTCAATTAGAATCCTTCTTTATATAATTTTGCAGTTCAATCCAGAATGTTTTCATGACAACACATACCCAAAACAAATGTTGTAAAGCTTCTAGGCTGCTTTTGCAAAAGTTTTCATCTATATTAATTTTAAATCTACACACAAAGAGTCTTTATAGGATAAATCTGATGAACAATTTAGTACAACACCTCCTTCGGTTGTACAATTTACTTGACATCATCCATATTTTATTTCAATTAGCCTCCCAAATGATGTGTTCCAAAATTGTTTAATTGACAAGATTTGACAGTTTGCAAAAGGGATCTTAAATATTTACTATTGCAACTATAACTCAATACATCTGTTTCTTGTAATCTAATACAGGCTGTAAAATCCTAAATGGTTTCTGAAGGACAACTATTACAGTTTCTTAAAAGAGTCAATACCTCCATAGGGACAGCATTGGTTGCAATATAGTATAGTATCAGACTTAACAGAAACATGTAATAGGTTTATTCCATGCTGAAAAAAAGAAGAAAGAGAACACAACGTTTCGGCCGTGGAGCCTTCTCTTTTTCTAACCACCCTTAACAGAAACATTATATCTATTTACAATGTCTGTGTAATTATACTTTCAACCATCAACATCGATTATTCGTTTTGAGTTCAAGCAGAGCGCCGTCTGCAACTTTGCAACTGGATATTCAAGAGGTCTGGTGAAAAAAAAAACCCTCAATCCACAAACATTACACGCCCTTCTCCAGACCTTTATCTGGCTACCATTGAGACATCCGGGTTCGCCACACAAACAGGACAGTATAATGCGTGTAAAAGCATCATCAGCAAACATCAAACTGACCCTTCCCAGAAGATACATCACTCATCACCGCAACAGATCAACAAAATTGTCAGGAAATGCCCCGCCTCATCCCAGATCATGCTTCCGATCTTTAACGGGACTCATATCCCGTGGGCAGGACACCTCTGGCATACCTGTGCCATTTCCCACTTGCAAGAAAGCTGTGGCTGCAGGAGCAGCAGGAGGACACACACTGTGCTTCGGGAGTGTTGTCCTGACTTGCTACCCTGCAGTAGGGTTTTTCCCTGCTGCTCTGGTTCCCAAAGCATGCTGGGTCGGCACGTACTGTACCGTCGGCAGGGGCTCACGCTCTGCTCCAACTTTCTTGCGTTTTTGCTTTTTTCAACACAAGGTGGCACAAGAGCTTAAAAAAACTGCGTTTGTCCTGGTAGCGCGGTTGGATGGAGTTGGGGCCCGACAAAGATCAATGGGAATAAAATATCTTTTCTCAACAGGAAAAGAAGAACATGGAAGGGAAAGAAATTAGACGCAGAGGGACCAGCTGAAGGCTTTGCATTTTGGTACAGATATATAAAGGCTGAAGTGTGCAGATAAGGTGCTGTGTGGATTAGAACTTGCTCATTTACAGTCTCTGCCAAATTTGTTTGTTGCAAGTCATTCTCTGGGATTCTAAAGTGCAGAATTTCTGCATTCATTCTAATTAAAATTATTCTAAAAAAGACTTGTTTAAAATATTAAAAATGTAATTATTTAAACCAGCAGGGGACCGTGTCGGGAGCTTTTGTGTGCCCTGGTCTGTGGTGCTTTATTCCAGTTAGCACAAGAGAGCTGCAACAGCGGCTTCTCTAAAGTCCAGACGTGTTGAAGATGTGTTCCCTTGAATGAGCTTTGATGTAAAGTGTTTGTGCCTCACAGTGTGTCACACCCAGCCCTGGCTGTGTGTGTCTCCTTGGCAGAAAGAGAGCTTTATAACAACAAAAAACACTTCCATTTGTGCCAAACCCCAAATACAAAAATAAAAAAAATCATTAATGAGAGCCTAGTAAAAATTTAATAGGTCAACCTAATTTGGGTGCTTTTAATACATGTTTTGAGTTGAAGCATGGCCTATAATTTAGACATTTTGTATTGCTGTAATTACTTAGTGTAATTGTACTCAATTGTAGCGCACACTTGCAGCATTCCTTAACAGACATTCATTTACCTTTTATTGATAAAGTACAAAGCATTGTTTATCCTGCTTCTTTATTGAAATTATTAACAGATGAAACAGGAGCAATAATACGAGAATGTCTACCTACCAGTTAATCCCAAAATACATCACCAAAAAACACAAAGAGAATTTTAGCTTCATTTTAGTCCCCCGTTAATCAAGGGTTACAGGGCTTTTGCCTTTTTCCTGCACTGAAAGAAACAGGTTTGCAATTTGCTTTTGCTGTGCCTCTGACACGCTTGACCCCATGTGAGGCTGAGTGGTATTGTTTGTTATTGATTGGAAGTTGACATTTTGCCCTCTCCTCGCACCCCTGGTGACTGTTCCTGCATCCCACTGAGTTCTGCCTGGTAAAACTCTTCAGTAAATACTGACTACAGGATTAAAATAGCAATCTTAGGCAGAGCCCTGCCCTCGTAGAACAGAATGAGCAAGTCTCTAATCTCAAACTCACAAAAAGAGCAACAATATTTCAACTAAAATATGAGCTAATTCACTTCAGGAGGGGAAATCTCTTCCTAGGCTAAAGAGCAGAACACAGCTGCAAATTAATATTCCCCAGTGGCCGAACACTGATCCTCAATTATCCTTTACGATAGGCTCTATGTATTATTAAATTAGTGCTTGTCTTTTTATGGGATTCAAAATACCTCTGAATCCATCTCCCCTGAGGCGTGCTTTCCTCACTGTTCCTGCTCACAGGCTGGGCCGTGTGTCCCTGCCAAGGGCTTGGCGGGGCCTCTGTGTCTCTCTCACTGTGGAAGTAGAATAGAAGTTAAAAAAAAGAAAGAAGCAGAGGAACAAAAAATAGGCCTTTTTTACTGGTGTTTATGGCATGGAGGTGTTTGAATAATGAGAATCAAGTTCCCTCACTGGAGAGACCATTTTGCTCCCTCTTTAAAAGGGGCTGCTAGAGAAACAAGTATAAAGGAGAAACAGAGACCAACGGAGTAAAGATAAAAAACAACATTAACAATTGCTATATTTTTGCTATATTCACACAATATTGCTATAGTCACACAATGTGTGACTGACAGAGACAAGGACATTAGCTACTGTAGCTGTCTATGTAATCATAGCCATCTGCCCTGCCTAGTGAGACTGCATGCAGTGCAGGATTTATTTTTTTATAGGACTGTTCATGCTAAATCCATCTCCTCTCAGCTCTGTTTTGTTCTTCCAGCTGTATGGCGTGTGGGCATGATTTTTTGAGGCAAGATTTATATGTCAAAGTGTTTGTTTTATTTTTGCAGAACTCCGACCTCTTCTGCTTCCGAATGAAGATGCAGGACATGCCCCAGTTTCATGGACCTGAGGTAAGCTTTCAGAATCGCAGGCCCATAGGAGCATCATAGGAGAGGTAACGTGTAACATAACAGGCAGAGTAAATAGAAAGTTAGTTGCCAAGATTAAAAGAACACTCCAGCTGCAAATGACTGCAAGACCTCTATCTGCTACGGCACTGAAATTTGGACCTTGACATGCTAGCCATTTCCATCACCAGCACTGCTTATAGCATCCAGGAAGATGATGATGTACGTTTATTAATTCATTATTGCCAGAAGCTACAGGTAAGTTAAAAGTTAAAGTCCCTGAACAGGCTGGAAGAGAAGTGAGCCCTGTGGAAAAAACTGCACACTGAGGCACTGAATCTCCACCTGCTTGTCGGAGAATTGCCTTGATTATGTCCGCTCTGTTGTAGGCGTGTGCCTCCTCAGCCTCTTTGATTTCTCTGTGTTTATTTCTACTGGATCAGGGGCCCCAAACACTGATTTTCAAGGGCTCAAGTGATTAATTGTGCCTTATTGGACCAGCTGCACCAGTGAACACAGCCTCTGAGCTATTGAACATTTAGATGG